CAAAAGGATTTACAGGGATAATTGTGGTGCATAGCTTCAAGGATTCCAGGACCTATGCAGGAACTTCCTTAAGATCCTTTCTTTTTTTCTTACTTTTAACATAATTCACATTTTGCCTACCAGTTTTCCAAGTGAAATTATCATTTTGTACAGTTATGACACAGCAATAATGGAGAGGTAGAAGAAAATAGACTCCAGAAGACCTATCCTAAAATACTCCTGGATTTGTAGTTAGTAATAGTTAATATTCTTATCATTAGATAAAATTATGTTTTGAGGAATTAATTATACCATAAATTTAAAGCTGAACAATAACTTCCCCTTTTAGCTTCATATTGCTATAACCATAACTTTTATATGTATAGTTACATATATTCATCATTTATATAGACAGATTTGTGCACTAATGAATTTGAATGGAAAGAAAAATTGTATAGATGGTTGTATGATTTTAGTACATAATCATGTAATATAAATTTCCACATCAAGGGATGAAACAGAAAATTATATGAACACTTTATTAGCTATTAAAAAAACGTGGCCTGAATTTTATTTAAAATTAGACCAGTAACCAAAATTAGTTTTGAGAGGGGTAAAAATTCAGGGGTTTTTCCAAGATCAAAGTGAAACAGAGCGGTTGAATGCTAGCATACTGTGGGGTTGAAATGCTCAAACCTCATAATTCTCCCCTTTATAACCTGGTTCTTAAAATTCCAAAATTATCTGACTTAAAAAAAATCTACTAGTACTCTCACAGTAATGAGGTTTAAACATGATTAATTTGGATGGTTTCACTTTATAAAAAATTGAAACTTATAAAATGGATGTATCAATTTTTTTAAATCATTCACGTAACAAGATCATTAATTCAAATACTCTTTTAACATGTGAGCACTCTGCTTTTATTTTAAAAAAGGCAATTTTTAAAGAAAGATTTACACAAAACAACTCAGGAGCCCATTTATTGCATATAGTGCAGATAGAGTTATTCTGAGTGCTTTCATTTCTTCTCAGGTGAAAAGTGAAATATTGAGCAGGTTTCTGTTGAATGTCAATGATGTCCTTAAACATATTTCATTGTTACTTAAAGAGGCTGAATGAATTACCTTGATAAAATCTTACAATCTCTACTCCACATCTAAGCTAATAAACAAACCCAAGAATAGGCAATATTTATGTCCCAATCTCTCAGGTCCAAAGATTTTATAAATAAAAAAGGTCAAACTTAGAGCATTTTGATGGGAAAGGATGTTTTCTCTGTATTTACTAGAGAGTCTATCATCTTTAATGTTTAAAAAGGAATCATATAGTAGGGCCCTACTTAAAACTTTTTATTTTCTGTATCACTTACATGTTTCTTTAGTTCACGAAATGAGGGCAGTTTAAAAAATCCCCCTTAATCACTGTGATTAGAAGTTAATTGATTAAGTATATTAAAGTAAACCCTAGCTTAGAAAATACATATTATCGTAAAAATATCAAATGATTTGCTACCTATAAAAAATCATAAGATTTTATTACATTACCAAATGTAAGTGTAATCAAAATTTTAAAAGTCTTGAAAATGAAAAATTAAATCCCATTTTAGTCATTAAAATTTTTAAAATCACTCTGCTTATTTAAGTTCCTTTTTAAGGAAAATTGGGTACAGTTAGGTCTTCCTTTTATTTAGTAGGTATTTTTGCTATTTATTTTAAAATACTTTTGTCGCTATAACTGAGTTAATCTTTCTCTCCTTTTGTTTTTGGAATAGAATCGAGAATATAATAAATTCTCCATAATTAATGTCCCAAAAGAGAAATAACCAGACAAACCAGGCTAATTTATCCAAACCCAATTTGGGTACAGTTAAAAATATTTCAGAGAAACTTTTTTCTTCAAAAATGTTGTATTGCAAAAGTGCCAAGATTGACAGGCAATTCCTACCCTCAGAATTTGTGGCAATTATGTGAGCTTTATGTGGAAGGCCTTTTAAAATCTTATCTTTCTATTATTTGATTGTCATTTTGTTTGACTTTGGATCCAACTTTTGAGTTAGATAGATTTTTGATTCACATCCTCACTTTATGGTTCATGAGCTGTCTTACTTTAGGTACTCAGTTTCTAGATGAAATAAAAGCTACCACCTAAAGTGTTGTGAAGATTAGCTGAGATATTGCATATAAGGCACTTACATATATGATTAAATTCATGACTGAGTCATAGCAGGTAGACAACACATGTTAACTATTAAGAGTCATAGCAGGTAGACAACACATGTTAACTATTAAAAGTCAACTTCTTTGAGATTTTAGATTGTATATTTGACATAGGATACACACTACATTTAATACCAATTAGAAACAATAAATGAAGATTATTTTTGCATTTTTAAAATTATAATGTCACTTCAGCCATTCTTTTTTGCTTTTATGCTTGCAGGTACATTGCATCCCCTGGATATGGTACAAAGGCAAAACCTGCAATGTACCATTAGATAACCTGGCTGCCATTCACCACCACTTCGTACATCTCACTTTTCTCCTTTATGCATGAATACTTTTTCACTTAAAGTAAGTCACTGTTATTGGAAGCAATGACTTTCTATGAGAGTATTGCTTAGTTGAAAACACTTAAGAATTTTGTGCTTATGAACATTATAGCTTTCTGCTATTTGTTAAACTTATTCTAATAAACTGAGTTTCAAGAAAAATATCAGAACATGAGCACTGTATTTCCAATGTGCCAATAACATAAATAGAACGTTTATAATTTTGGTATAAAAGCAATTATACTGAAGATAAAAATGTTCATATTTTGTAGAAAAAAATTGGTAATTGTACTTTTACATTTTAAATTTCCATGTTAAGAATATTTAGCAAACCTAAAATTGGCACAGTATTATGGTGAGGAAAGTATGAGGAATATATAGCATTAAATATATAGCATTAAAAAGTCTAAATATTTTAAAGGCAGTTAAACTACATGCACTATTAATTATTTAGAAGATAATTTTCAATTACCAAGCTTATTTTAAATAATAATTTTTAATGAATTACTTCAACTAAAACAGTATTTTCAGTGTTTAGGTAAAAATGAAGTAAATCTGATGGCTTGTTTGAGATTATGATTAAAATAACTCTGAATAAAATTGTTTTTTTCCACATGTCAAAGTAATTTAATTTTACATATATACAGGACATATATTTACTTATAAATATCTATACATCAGTAGTAGATAATGAATTCTTTGTTTAGCACTGTATATATATAGTTCAAGATGTTTATTTTAAAACCCCAGTTAGTGTTAGTATAGTTAAGAATTATAAAATTAAATCCTATGATAGTTGAGTAATATGATGTAAAATTAATTATATAGTTAAGAACATTGCTAGCTGACTGCCTGTGGTCTAAGGATATTAGTGGGTAGAAAAAGCAAATTTCTCAGCTGAAATTCTTGCTAATACAAAGATATAAAATACTATAAACTCTTCTTTTTTCACAAATTTTACTGAACTGATTCCTCTTGTACCAACAAATTAGTAGTTTAACCATTTTGGTGTTTTAGCTCTCAAAAACTGTTTTAAGGATGGTTATTGCCAACAGCTAGACTAAAATCAATAGTGATGACTTTGGAAGCTGACTGCATAAGGTATCACTTTCCTGTGGTAGTTACTGTTGAACTACAGTAACTTCATGTAGAATAGGCAAAAAATAAGTCAGTTGTTAAAATAAGTTATTAAAATATATGCCCACTAAACTACATTAAGCTGTATTGCAATACAATCATTTTTTAAGTTATTTCCCGTGTTTTCTATGATCATGGGAAGTTTACAATTTAAAAGTATTTCAGAATAGGGCTTGAGAAATGCAGGCACATGCAATTATATCTACACACATAAAAAAGAAAATTAAGAATGGACTCAAAAAAACAATTCCTTTCAGTGGCTATTTCTGTTTCCATCCCATCCTTCAAATGAGAAAACTTAGATGGCCTTGCCTCATCAGAGAATGGTCAGGTCCATTCCAATATAGGGCATCCCAGTTCTCTCCATGGCAACAGCCCTGGATAAGTTAAAAGGCAACTCAAAGTTTTTAAGACTACTAAGCACTATTAATCCTTTTTTAAAAGTGCAGAATAGGCCAAACAATGTAGAATTCTCCAGAGCAAAGGTTGTCTTTTACCAAACTTGGAATTGTTTACATTGTCACAAATACTGTGTTGGATACCTATTCTTGGAAAATGAATGAGATAAAGAGGCAAAACACGGAAGTCCATCCCTGGAATATACCTCCTATTAAAGACAAAAGGGATTAGGAACGGATGCTGAAGAAGGACTCTTAAATGAATCTGCACACTTTAAAAAGTGGGATGAATGGGAAGAGGGAGGAGAGGAGAGGAAAGGGCAGTGGGAAGAAGGGTTAATAAGCAATTCCTTTCTCTAGTCTCAAACCTTTTAAGACCACAACTTTGCAAATGTATTATTTCATCATCATTTAGTATTTAAAATTTGTCTAAGAATAATGACTTCAAATGTTGCTACCTGAGGAAGTGTGAGGAAGAATGGTCTAACTGCAGAAGAGTACACAGAGATAGTTGTAGTGGCTGAGGATGACCCCATTGTTTCTTTTCTTCTTCAGGATTTTGATCAGGAATGACCCAGCTGATGTGCCGAGTTCAGGAAGTCAGAGCTACAAAGTTCTTTTGAAACCAGACAATAACCTAGTTCCCTTCGCCTTCCTTCCCTGCACCTCTCCCCTGCTGACTGCCAACCCTCACCCACTTTACCTATGACCATCCCAAGAGTATCAAACATATAAATATAGAACTTGTCCACTGACCATAGTAGAGAGAAAAACAAAATTAGCACTACTGGTTTCTACGGGTTTCTTTTTGTTGTTGTTTAACCACCCCCTCCTCCCAGCCCCCAACCCTTTGTGTGTGAGGATTCCCCTTCAAACCACCCACAGACCGAGCAGACGAGAAGAAATGGTAATTTTCGGTTTAAAAGTTCACTTACCACGGCAACCTCATATTGCTTTGTCATGCTTTTTGCACTTAAATTTTCAAAACTGCTTGTGCTGGGCGCAGAACTGGGAAGGCAGGACTAAAGTATCTCTAGTAATCACAACAAAAAGGAGAGAACATTCACCAGTCAGAATTACATTTAAATGCACAATCAAACCCCAGAGCAAGAAGCACGGTTCAGAACACACCGGGGAGGGGGTGGGGGTGGGAAAAGCCAAACTAACAAAACAAAAGGTAAAGGGGCGAGTTGAGTGGTTGGAGGGGAAATTGATCCAAGCCGCCTTTTGACCGTGGACTGGCTTAAAACCACCACCACCACCACCCCCGCCCCCAGCATCCCCGCGATTACCCGAGTGACTGCACTTGCCTCCAGCCAGCTCAACTGCAGGAGAGGAAATCCCCATCTAAGTTCACTAGCCCTGCCACAGTCTTCCACTGCCTGATGGGTTCCTCCAAGAAAACACTTCCAGAGGCATTCATCCACTTGAGGTCTGGGGTTGGCTGCTGCTGCGAGGCTGCTGCAGCCGAGGCTGCTGCGAGCAGCTGCTAGGATCGTTGCCGTCTCGTTCCTGCCTCTTTCGAGCTGCACAATAGCCTCGGCTGGGTGCACCTCATTAAGCCAGCCGAGAGCCCCAGGAGCAGGGCAAGCAGTGTGACAGCGCTACCTCTTTGTAATGACTGTATGATGGATGCAACCGAAGGGTGGGGTCTGGGTGGGTCAACACTGTTAACGACAGTATGTATCATTCTGTCCGTCCTCCAGGAGAGGGAAGCCCCCTGCCCTCCCCTCAGGTCTCGGGGTCTCTCTCTCTCTCTCTTCTCTCTCCCCCTCCATCTCTTGTCTCTGTCCCCTGTCACTCGCGCGCGCACACACGCACACGCACACACACTTTCCTCCCTCTTCCCCCACCTCCCTATGCCATTTTCTGCAGTCAGCGTTCAAAAAAGTACGAAAACCATCGGGTAATTTCCAACTGAACCGATTACGGACGGCGAATTTATCCAAACACTTAAGGAAGAAGATCCTAGTAATCGAAAAACGAAGGCGGAAGGGGCGAGAAGAACGGGGTGGAGTTGGGTGGAGGAGCGAGCGGGACGTTAACTGGCCAATAGTTTGCAACTGCCGGTCAACACGCGTAGCCTACTCAGCGCTACTCGTGAGGCGCGGGACGCCGCCTGCACGTGCGCCGCGCTCCTCCCAGTGCCCGGGATGGTGTCGGGGGCGGGCTGCACGGTGAGAAGAGCAAAATAAAACCAGCCCTAGAGGCGCCGGCTGGGGCCGAGATTGCAGGAGTAAGTTCTGCATCGAGGCAGCGCGCAGCCAGTTGGGGAAGAACTCTGCAACCAGACCGAAAGAAAGTCCGACCCACCCGGGAGGGCTGCCAGGGAGTGTCAGGGTCGGAGACTCTCTAGTCGGGCGAGGGCTCCTTCCCCCGGCCATTGGGTCCCCCTTTGGACCAACACCCCCGTCCCGCTTCAGAGCGTCGGCCCCACAGGTGCGCAGCTTAGTCACCACGTTGGGGACTAGACCCCCGCCTCTCTCTCTCTTCCCTTTCTCTCCGGACCCGACATCCTCTTCACGTCTCACTCCATTCTTCACGTCACTCCATCTCTTCACGTCTCACGTCTCCAGTCTCTTCATGTCTCACTCCATCTCTTCACGTCTCACGTCTCCAGTCTTGCCTGTGCTAGCCATGCTGCCCCAGGGAGGCAAAAACAAAAAAACAAAAAAAAACTCTCCTTTCCCCCCCCTTTAAGGGCAGCCTTGGATCTTAGTTTCACTGCCACCTCACTGACACCACCCCATTGACATTTTACCCCCTTTCAGTTTTGTTAATGGTCCCAAGAACCTAGTTCACAGGCATCGGTTTTTCTGCTATAGGAAAGGCTTACTTATTTCCCTATGTGGACAAGTATACTTATTTTACATTCAGCCTCCCGTTTCCAACTTAACTATGATGCTGTACGCTCTTCATGTGGCTACAGAGCACCTTCCAGACATCCTGAGCGATTTCTGCAGAACCGCGTGGATGCCATTTATTTATGTTTATTAGAGTTTATGGAGCACCACTTCTCTGACTCTGTGCAATAGACTTCTATGTTTTTATCATTGGTGTCTTATAGCAGTAAGAGAAAGCAAGAAGCATAGAGTAAACAGGGTATTTATGTCTAATGAAGCATCTCTCCCTTTTTATGTCAGCCATTTATTAATCAGTTAAAATTTGTGTAGGTTGTGCAGCCTGCTCTAGGCCATGGGATAGCACTAAAGATTTTATGCCACTCCTCAAAGAGCTTCTGATCCATGGGGAAGGCAAAAGAACCTTTAGCTCTTAATTGCCTCTAATAAGAAACCGCTTTTAATAGATGGGAAGGAGAGACCTTGTCAGAAAGCTTTCAGCAAAGGAAAGGAACACTGTGGTGTTGACCTCAGTGGTTCTTTCAGGTCATAAACCTGCAAGGCCTCAGAAGTGTCCTCTCATTTATTTATTTATTTTTTAACCAATTGCTTTTCCCACCTTTTTACAATTGTATGTTTTGAAGGTAGTACCAGACTTCTGTTCGCATATTTCCTAGAATTAAATATAAAGGAAAGGGTAGGGGGCAAGAGAAGGCCAGTTGGAATTAGTGAGAAATCTAAATTAATTGACTAATTAATTAATTTACTAACAGTAACACCAACTTAAGCTTGCCTAAAAGAAGTCCTCAGTGATATAACTTAATGAGTAAAAATAAGAATTACAGATAATTATATATGATGTATAATTGTATGAAATTAGCAAAATAATTGTTTTTATGTAAATAGTTCTTTGTAAGGGCATCTGAAAACTGTCAAAACATTTCCTCTTACATTGTTTTAGTAATAAAGTTGCATAATGAAAAAGATAAGTATAAAATAGTTGGGAGTGGAGAGAGTTAATTGATTTTGTAGTATGTTATAATTGTAATCATAATAAAAGTTTATTATTAAAGTTCTCCATTTCTTTAAAACTTAGGTGGGCAAGATACTAAATACTTTTCTTGGAATATGTCATCTTGATTGAAAACTACTAGGATTATTTTTGAAAAAGTAGCTCATTAGCTGGCCGGGTAAGTTTGTTTGTTTACAATGGACTTTTCAATGATGGTGGTAGGCATCCTGGAAGATAGCCACTTTACTAAGTTCATTTTTTTCTGTTCTTGTCTACTTCTCTAACCTTGAACTTTATTTAGTCAGGGAAAATGGAAGGAATGGGAATGCTAACTAATGGATGAAAGATATTTTCTTTAAACTTTGAAAAACAGACTTAAGTAATTGAACCATAAATTTAGACACCGGGCTTTTAACAAATGAAAATTTTAAGATGTATAAAAACAGCTCCCATAAGTTTATGCACCAAATGTATTAACTTTGTGGTACATAAGATTGCACCTGGGAAAAGTTAATACCATTGGAGATTATTAAGACTTACCAACTCACTCAGCTTTAATAAGGAGAACTTGAGCCAAGTGTGGAACACAGTTGTACCAAATTGGCCAGAATTATACAGTTAAATGTAAATACATTTTTTTTCTGGGAGGTAAAGATATTAAGCCCCCCAAAACACTTTAGATATGTTTTTTAAAAACTACTGTCCTGCAAAAATGTTTGTCCTACCAAAAGTTTCTAGCCTCTTCCATAATAACCTATATGACAGTGTTAGTACCACTTGGAAAAGATGTTTAATATCTGAACACGGTAATACGTTCTATTTCCTATTTTTGTTAATGGGATTATAGATGTGATATATTTCAGGCTCTGCATTATCTATGGCAGGAAAAAATTGAGGGCAAAAGAGTTTCTTTGGCATACATCAAGGACTACATTGCAATCAATACAAGCAAACCAAGTCTGGAAAATATATAAGCTAAGTATTAAATAAGTAACTCACTGTCTATAAATCTCCTACTAGTGGGTGAATGTTGAAAGTCATATAAGGGCTTCAGTGACTAATGGAATACAGTTGTTCATCCCAAGCGACCTTGGCTATCCTTTTAGAAAGTTCTCAACAAGTTCTGCTACATGTAAGAACAAGATCATGTCCAAGAATTCGTAAGGATTTTAAAGATTGTCTTGCATGCTGCCTTTGAAAAGCAAGTTCAATACTTCGTCTTTCAGAAAGCATTTGTTTGCGTGCTGTTAAGATTTCTTTACCCAAGTTAGACAGCAGTTTCTAGAGTCATATAGAAATTGGTTCCAATGCTTATAAACTGGGTGACTTGTACAATTCTCTTAATGACTGTGGATCACACTTCCTTCTTTAGTAAAATTAAAAGAACAAGGACCAGCTCCTACAGTTGTGATGATTTAATGATACAAAGTGTAAAAACATACTGCCTAGTAAAATGTCAGTCCCATTGAGACAGATATTGTAATTTGCCTCACTGGATGTTAATTCTTAACCTCCTCCCTCCTTGTCTTTTTCTAACTTAGAGACTGGAAATTTAAATATTTCATTTCCCAGTTTTCTTTGCATCTAGTAGTGGCTGTTTGACATAGTTATGGCAAACTAAATGTAAATACGGCTAGGGGTGGTGGCTGATGCCTGTAATCCCAGCATTTTGGGAGGCCGAGGTGGGCAGATCACCTGAGGTCAGGAGTTCAAGACCAACCTGGCCAACATGGCAAAAACCCATCTCTACTAAAAAATACAAAAATTAGCTGGGCATGGTGGTGTGTACTTGTAATCCCAGCTACTTGGGAGGCTGAGACAGGAAAATTGCTTGAACCCAGGAGGCAGAGGTTGTAATGTGCTGAGATCACACCACTGCACCCCAGCCCAGGCAACAGAGTGAGACTCTGTCTCAAAGAAAGAAAAAATGTAAATACATATTTGCTAAGGAACCTTCTGAAAATGCTTTTGTTTTCCTGATTAAAGACTAATAGTGACAACTGCCACCACTTTTTGCTGCATTTGTCCTACCTGCTTCTTCCTATGTGATATATGTGATATCTGGAGCTAGAGCAACCATTTTGCAGTTATGGACCAGTTGAAGACCAATCTCTGAAAGATAGTGAAGGAAGATAGGAAGAACCCAGGTTTCTGAAAGCAAACTTGACTTGCTGAATTAGTCCTGGACTGTTGACCTTTAGACATCTTATTGTATATGAAAAAATAAACTGCTCTTTAGTTAAGCCATAGTTAGCTGAATGTTCCGAATATTATGATACTGACATGTCTGCCATGATTGTTGTGGTTTTCTGCTTTTAAATAAAATCTGCCTTGATTATATGACCCTGAATGTCAGTCATTTTGAAGAATTTCAGGTAAAAAAAAACTCTTCTGAGAGTCCGCCCATGCACCTATGACTAGGTCACCATTTTGAGTTTGGATGATCTGCTCAAATTATTGAACCTGGAGTGGGTTTGTAAGGACTTTTTTTTTCTTTTTTTTAAAGTCCCACAACTGACAGTTCTTTTTGAGGAAGTCCCATAATTGTACTAAAAGAGACTGAACCTAACATTTATATTGTCTAAATATCTTTTATCTTTCCTTTCATAGTGTATTTTTGCTTTTGTTTTCAAATA